AGCCTTCACCTCTGTAATCAAATCATATGTGCAGGTAGTCTGGCTAATCCATTCTAAGAATTAACCTGCTGGACCCTCATATCTCCAAAGTGATGGGAGAGTTCTTTTTTTTTCTTTTACATATTATATACAAGCCGAAAGCCAATACTACAGATTACTTATCTTGTTGCAATCCTGTAATTAAGGATATAGATTTAATCATATATATCAGTTTCAGATCTAAATTGTTTGCTGCTATTCGATTCTAGAGTAAAATGCACTTTTGCTGACTCTCTTGGCTCCTGTATGTATATATATATATATATATATATATATATATATATATATATATATATATATATGTGTGTGTATGTGTATATTTATATATGTGTGTATATATGTGTGTGTGTATGTGTATATATATATATGTGTATATATATATATGTGTGTATGTGTATATATGTGTATATATAAATATATGTGTATGTGTATATATATGTGTGTGTATATATATATATATATATATATATATATACACACACACACACACACATTCTGTATTTCTGCATATAAAGTGACCTTACAAATTATGCCCAAAAATAGTAGGTTGTCTAATACAACAGTTACAAAAAGCTAACCTTAAATCCTGTGGTGTATCAGCACTGGTCAGTAGGCTAGTATTGCTGTAGGCTAACAATTGCCTCAGTATGGTAACTACCAATGTCGATATTTTTAGTTGAAATAATTTGGATTATAATGCTGAACTCCAGTCATAAATGTAATAAAAGTATTTTCACTTCTTCATTTCACATTAAAATACAATATTCAAGAGACAATTACAAAACAATTTGCAAAATTTCTCCTGAACAACACTCACAAGTAACAAATAACGTCAATAAATCTTTCATACTTGATTTGTAGAGCTATGTCTGTGTTCACACCAATTACTATTTCTCATAATAGTGTTAAATAACAACATTTAGGATAACATACAATCTATATTTCGAATTAAAATTTATTATCATTGTGGTGTTAAGTTTAGTTTGTTTAATGGCATATCAACTCCTTATGGGTCATTCGATGCTGAAATCTAATTTTCTTGGAAGTTTTGGTAAATTTCTCTTCCTTTTCCAATATAGGATACAGGTTCAATTTCTGTTGAGGACATATACTTTAAACGAAATTTCTCAAACATTCAGACTGGTAAATGTAATTAATATTGTTTAATTAAAAGAACAGAGCATTTACTTAAATAAATTGTATCCATAAAAAATAACATATAAACAAAAAAATATATTAAATATTTGTAATTTAAATTATATATATATATATATATATATATATGCAAATATTCCATGATTATAATTTATTATATTGGAATCGTAATCATGATCCAATTTTATATTATATTTCAAAAAAAGCTTTTTTGAATTTGTAGGTCTTAAATTGATAGTTATTACCAATGACATTATAGCCATGGAATATTACCTTTGGATTCTATTCTTGCTTTGTCCAACATTGATCTACCTGGATTCTATCCTCTTGGAAATATCTATCTATAACTATATATATATATATATATATATATATATATATATATATATATATATATTGGTCTCTAATATTATCATATATATATATATATATATATATATATATATATGTCTATTTAACAGATGTTAACTGTCTAAGAGAATAAAATTCAAACTATGGTCGAGAAAAGCATGAATCTTCTCCCTGCAATCAGTTTTTTCTTCTATATGACTTGTCCATTCAGAGGCTAGGCGATCATGGCTCTTCACAACTTCCTGTCTTTTGTAGCTCTTAATAAATTTGGTCTTTTTTTATCTCTCCTAAAACTTGTTCTGTAATCCATTTACTCAGGCTCACTACGTAGGTTACGTGTTGTTTTTCCTCTGTCCCTCTTGTGATCTTGGTGCCTTTGTAGAAGGTTTTGAAGGGTTAAAATGCAACTCATTTTTTTAATCATTTCACCACAAAAAAGGCAATAAAGCCACTAAGATGTAATGTGTTACTGAGTGTGAGAGTATATGTGAAAAAAAACATTATTAAGGAGAGAGAACAATAAAAGAATAGGAATTAAGAAGACAAGATAACAATTGACATTGCATATAAAGATCGAAGTTGACTGAGAAGCAAGAAACCAGAAAAGATTTCCACAGGTGAGAAGTGTGAGAGAAGAAACTATTAGCATAGAACTTATAGTTACATGTATCAATTCCAAGTGTAAAATGAGGAGACCTTGCTGCCAATCTAATACTGCGCTTAAATTCTTAAAGCTGTAGTATCAAACAAGAAATCTTATCAGAACAATTACCATAAAAATATTTCTAAAAACAATATAAGGTGTAATGAGTTGGTCAGTCAACTTGACACCCCCAAAGTGAGTGGAGGTGGGCAGGCGTGGGAACTGTGATTGGTAGCTGGCTTGTTGGTGTTTTGCATAGGTGAGTTACCAAGCTCTATGTAAAGGGCTGGAATGAGAAGGAGGGCAGTTTCAGTCTCAGAAGGGGAGACTGTGTCCGTCGCTACGACAGCCGGAGAGAAAGAGACGAAATCATTTATTTTTTCGTGACACATTCCAACACATAAGGAAGCTACATTACAGCAATTGGAAAGTGATTGAATCCGAGATGTCAGGTTAGGACTGTTAAAATTGCAGAGTCTTCTTTTGATTTTATCAAGAATCTCTAAATATAGAGTAGGAGTACCAAACCATACGTGGCAGCAATATTCAAAGCGAAGGCAAAAAGGTAGATTTATAATTGTGTAAGCACGACACAGTGAACCAACTTTCCTAGCAGTAGACCTAGCAATTGATTCAATTATACATTCACTCACACACACACACACACAAATATATATATATAAAATGTAATAAATAAAAAAAAAAAACAAACTTTCTGCTTCAGTGGTTTCACTTGCAGATTGTCAGACAGTAAAAGTAAGAATTCTTATTTTACATTTATCAAAACATGCTTATATATATATATACCGTGTTAAACGGGAGTGGAAAAAAAATTGCCTGTGAAAAAAATAAAAGATTTTCTACCCTAGTTTAGAATTTTCTAGAGAAAAATTTCTTTTTGGACTTATGTAAATATTTAGAAAAAAAAATGTTTGTTTGGATATATAGTCAAGACAATTTCATTTAGTTTCTTTTTCTGCATTTTTTTATCACTTTTGTTATTAAATAAATGTATAGAAAGTGCTTTAAATGCTAGATTATCCACAGTAAATGGACAATGTTTGACCTTTCTTGGCAGATCTTCTATTATCACGATATGTGATAATAAAAAACAAAAGTGATGTAAACATAAAAAGAAAGTAAATGAAATCATTTAGACCATATATCCAAAACATATATTTAAAAAAAGACAAAAAGACATTGGAAAATTCAAAATTAAAATTTCACCATCCCCTCTTCTTCATGCACATGTGTAATCACATCAACAAAAACATCATTTTAGTTTGATGAAGTGTTAAATGACAAAATGCATAAGACAATTTTTGTCCTCTTTTCATAGATTTTCCTAAAACTATTCTGATATCTAAAAAAAATTATATATTCTTTTCCCAAATATATATATATATATATTACAGAGCAAAAAATCCAAAATAGTGGTATAGTCTATTTCAAACAGGCACTGCTTTGTGCCTGTCCTCTTCAGCCCTGGACTGAGTTCATCTTGGAATCAGGGGTTTGGAATTTAATTTAGATTGCAGTCGAGGAAAAGGTACAGGCCAACCCAAAGAGGCACCTCATCTAGATAAAGAGCCTGAGTTGGTGATAAAGGGAAGATGTGAGGTGTCTCTTCAAAGAGGGAGTGGCTGGAATGGGAGTTTATTTATGACCAAAGCTTTAAGTTGTATATAAAGGAATTTAGGCTCCCGCTAGGGAATACCAAACTATACTAACAACAAATATGTTTTAATACGATTAACAACTATAGTACACCATTGAAGATACTGGTGTCAGATGCTTTTTTTATTTCTTATTGGATCATGTTATTTAAGTCATGGTAATTATGTGTGAAAAATAATATCGCCCAAATGTCCACCAAGGCTTCAGCAGCACACCTTCACTCGATGGTCAAAATTTTTCATGACGCCTTTGCATAGTTGCTCCTCGATCTCACCAATATGCCTTATTATCTCATCCTTCAGTTTTTGAATTGTTGTTGGCAGAGATCTTACTTTTGAGATGACCCCAAAGGAAGAAATCTAAAGGCGTCAAGTCGCATGATCATGGTGGCTAATTGACTTCACTGTTTTGAGAGATGATACAATCTGTGAATTTCTCATTCAAATTCTGTTTGAATGTCCATTTTCATAATAGGCTTTGATAACTTTAATTGTTAATCTTTCCATGGTTGAAATTGCCAAAGACTTAAGTTGTTAAATCTGAAAGAAAAGAAAAAAATCTTTAGAAGCTTAAATTTAATTCACATTTAAAATCAGTCCAAGTTATTTGAACACCCTTTATATGTATTACCTCCATAGTCATGTGGTCTACCTAATTCAATAATGGGATCTTCTGCATCTATTCACTGGCGGTCCGTGTTCAAACACAAGTGTTGGCAGTGACACTTTATTTCTGTATAACAATATATACACACACACGCACACACACACACACACACACACATATATAATATATATATATATATATATATATATATATTTGGTGTTTGACTTAAGTACTACATAATGACTGTCAGCATCATAGCTCATGCAGTTTTCAGATATATATATCTACAAATGCTTTATCTCCAATGAAGATCAGTTTCTCCACTTAAATATAGCAAATTTTAAACAGCATACATATATATATATAAACATATACTCTAGTAGGGATTTCTTGGTTAGGCACTTCTGAATTATCCAAATCATTTATCCAAAGCTACCAATCAATGAAAAGCATTTATCGTCCACTGCATACAGACAAACACCTGTCTGTTTGTGACAGGTGTCCTTATTGATTTCTCTCCTTATACGTGATGCTTCACTTGATGTCTGGCTTTTGTTGCCTTGTCACCATCATCTGGCCAATCTGTGTGCATCTGTGTCTGTACGTCTGGTGTTCTTTGACAGTCACACTGATGCTGTTTTGTCTACAATGCCACAAAGATCAGATGGAATTAATTATTCAAACATGATTACACAATTTGAGCTGAGCAGAAGAACTCAAAGAAAGAACTCTAATCTAGTAGATTTGATGTTTATTACTACTATTCCTCCTCTTTTATATATCCCATCAACAATCATGCCTCTCCACAACTTCCTATTGTTTATAGCTCTAAGCAATATTTGTCCCTTTATACATGGTTATTAGGTAGGTTACATGTTTTTTTCCTTTTTTGCCTTCATTATGTATATATCGGCATACAAAGTGACATTTTAATCTTAAAAATTTCCCCCAAAAAAGGGGCTCTCTTACACTCCCAGTATAAAATGTGAACCTTAAATACTTATAGATGTGAGCATATTAATGGCTATTTAAAAAAAAAGTGATCATCTGTTGCGCATACAGATATATTGATGCACCTATGTAAATTATTCAAATTTTCTTTCTGAATATTGTCTGGTATATATTGATGAATTCTTCTCCTAGTATAGTCAGCATCACATTGGCATTCAAGATGGTAAATTCCAGAACCAACATATTGAGAAAGGAGAATATCTTTTTGGATCAATCAGAACATTGGTTGGACAGTGAAAACAATACATGGATGGTTTGACAAATAACAGTTTATCACACTTTTTATTATTCAAAATTATACATGAAATAATACCCCAAATCATGTCTATGTTTCAGCTAAAAATAATAGCTTGTCTCGAATAATTTATGCCACACACACACACACACACACACTGCCATAATCTTGACTTCCTTCCACATTGTCTTTCATTGATATCACACACATCATTCAACCTGAACATTTTAACAGTAACCCTCTACACTACAATCTTAACTTCTTCAAGTCAAATGTTAATTGTTATCTATCCTCCTTATCCTCATAATCTTCACTTCCTATCACCTCCTCCTTCATTCACTCATCATAACAATTGTAAAGTAAACCTCTATGTTAAGTGGCATTCATGTCTTGTATTGAGTGAATTATGCTATTAAAAAAAAAGTTCTACCATCCAACAGAGCCTGCACAATTTCTTTGGTGTGTCAAATTACAAAGATTTCATTGTCTTGGTGATTATATTGACAGGGTCAGGTCAATAATATTGACTCTGGCCCTTTTCTTTCTGTTGGCACTGACTGAGAATTCAAGATTATGTTTGGAATAGGCACTCAAATTATTTCTGGGTTCCAGCCCAAAATAGTGATTGTATAGCACCTGATATGTAACACTATTTTTATAAGTCTACCATTCAACCACACATTGAATATGGCTGCCACATCTGGTCAAGTGCTTCTGCTATGTATTTAGAAATTTTTGGTAAAATAGAAAGAAAATTCTGCAATGTTATCAGAATCTAATCGGACACTTAGACTTATCAGAAAGAAAGAGTTGAAATTTATAGGGCACATAATGAGGAAAGAGGGTTTGAAAAATTTGATACTCATAGGACAGATTGAAGGCAAGAGGAACAGAGGACTTTCCTAGTGAGCTTGAGTAAATAGGCAGCCAAGCAAGGTTTAGAAAGGATAATAAAAAGACAAAATTTGTTAAGAGCTACAAAGGACAGAAATTTGTGGAAAGCTATGATAGCCAACACTCTGAAGGGATACAGCATATAGGAGAGGAAGACTAGATTGGCAGATAGGTCTCATTTTACACTTGAAATGGCTAGATGTAACCATAGGTTCTATGCTGTTTCTTCTTTTGCACTTTTCACTTGTAGAACTCTCTTCCGGATTCTTATATTCATCTGTTCTCTTAATCCCTCTTCTTGTATTGCTTGCTCTACTTATCTTGTAGCATACCTACAGATGATAATGGGTATGTCCCCATTCATATAAATATAGTAGTAATATATAAATACAGTAGTAAATACTGTATGTTGGTCTGCAGTTGGAGATTCATCGTGGAATTAACTTTGACTCACTTCTAGAAGTTGATGACTTCATCTACGTGCCTCTGGCAAATCTTATATGTGTTGTTCTTGTCCTAAGTTACGTAATGGAATAACCTGTCACCTCCCCATGAGTGACTATACTATAGGTAGTAACTATCTATAAGTAGCTGTAAGTCAATGGACTACAGAGTCTAGCTGGGATCTGTTGAGTATGTCTCAGTCTTATGCGAGAACTACTGACCTTCCAAGAGTAGCACTCTGTACTGGATTGACATGCGATGACCTTGTGCATAACTGTTACCTTTATTCTTATTGTACTGGTTTTTACAATAAACCTTTACTTATTTTATCCCCCTTGTTTTTCAAGTATATATTCCTATTAGCAGGGAATATAACACTAAGTATTATTGTTCATTACCAACCTTGAAGTGATTATTCTATTCAGTAACCCTCCCTAGGTTACAATACCTTAATAATGTTTTTCTTTTTCACTCTGTAACCTTTTTTGTGTTAGTGGCTTTATTGCCTTCCTTAGGATGAAATGAAAAAAATGCTTTATGCCATGCACACACACACACATTGTTTTTTTAATGTTCTTTTCAGATATTTTTATTGTATTTTTTATTCTCTTTTATTTCTCTTTAATATTAGATGTAGAATTCTCTTTTTATTTGCAATCTTAACTTGCATTTCTATCTCTTTTTCTCTTTTACAGTCTTCAGCAGACTCTCGACTGGTAAGATGCATTTTCTTTGTCTCCGTATTTTTCTTTGTGACTTGACAGAAAAAAGCATTTATTAATATTTGCATATCTTCCCTGAATAACAATGGCTGGCACTTTGCAGGATTAAAACACTAACCGAAAAAAGCTTGGGTTGTATTGTTTGCAATCTTCTCCCTGCCAAAAAAATCTGCAGTCTCCAACGAAGAATGTCGATTTTTGGTCCCCTCAGTTTGCATTGAATACTTTTCTTGAAATTGTACATAAAATGTTTAATCAAAGAACAAAGCCTGAGGAATTAAGTTTACCATATTTTCTAGACACTCTAGAAAACCTCTCTCTTTATATATATAATACAAACACACAGGGTGCGATGGATAAATTGTCATCTAAATTACACAAAAATGAAAATAATACTGACATTTCATTTTAACAGATATATTTACCAAAATTCCACAAAAATATATTGAAATAATAGAGTAAAATTATTCAATAAAATTGTCATTGGCTGCAACCACAGGCTCCAGATGACTTCAGAATCTCTTGCAACTCTTCTGGGGGGTGTACATTGTTTCAGTTGGTGAATGCCACCATAATCCTTGCATTCAGTTCATCTTTGGTGTTACAAGGAGGTTTTGTCTCACTCAACTGCACCCCACACATAATAATCAAGGGGGTTGCAGTCTGGGGTGTTAGATGGCCAGATTTAAGGGGTGATGTGGTTGCAGAAATTGATTGACTGTTAGCAGCCACCCTCTTGACTCAGGGAAACACTACTTCCTCAAGGCACTTGATGTAGGCCTATGTGTTGAGTTTGAGATCCTTTGGAAAGATGAATGGAGGCATAACATCACCATCATTAGTGATTACTACAAACAACTTTGTAATCACCATTAGACTCATCCAACTCTTTCCAAATGCTCTGCACTCTCCTCAGATTGACATACAAACACTCTGAAATATTTGTATTGGAGCTTCTGGTGCGAATGCCAAGCAGTACATCATGCTGTTTCGAAAATTTTGGTGGGTTGACTTGCGTCATGGTGGTCTTTTTCTTACAGATGATGCCGAACTGAATCTACTATACAGTGAACAAAATCAAAAACAAACAATATCCATGAGCAAAATTAACAATACAAAATGGCAACAGTTTAAACATTTCACACTCCCTGTGTGTGTATATATATATATATATATATATATATATATATATATATATATATATATATATATATATATATATATATATATATATATATATATAATATACATATTACAGTTCGAAAGTTTGAAGCCACCCCCAAATTTACCATGGAATGAACTTGACAGAAGAGTGAAAATGAAAAAGAGATTTAGAGTCATTGATAATTGATTCCGTTCTTTTTTCAGACATACTTTGAGAAACTTTTGCAACAAATGCCAAAAATTTGAGCTGCAGTAATCAAGGCTAAATGATGATATTTTGATGAGAGCAAAATTTAATCATAAAATGCTTTTTTTTCCTTTTTGTCATAATAAAATTTCTAATAAAAAATCATCTCATGTTTTTTAACCATGTATAATAATTAGCATTGATGGAACCAACAGACCACTTGTTAAAAGCTAAAACCTTTATCCAGATAAAGTCTCAAATGAAAACAACAATACTGATAAAGAAAAAAGGCCTAAAGGCAAACCTACCTACTAAGGAAAGTAAAGTGCTCAAAGCCTACATTGCCCGACTGAACAACACACACACACACACACACATATATATATATATATATATATATATATATATATAATTATTTTCTTTGTTGATATTATCTTTTTCTTGGCCTCTTACAGGACCTTGGCTTTTCTCAAGGTCTGTAAATTATGGGGGGTGATGGGCTTAGCTCTACTTCGCTGGCCCCAAAAGTGTTGGCTGGGTTTTAAATTCAGAGTTGATATCCTTCTAGGCCAGTTGCTCTGTCAATGCTGGAGAGGCCTGTCTGCTATTCTATTTTACCTATAGCTATAATACTATTGTCAGCTTATCTTATATATGACCTACAATCTGAAGTTAACTGAGACAAGGAATGAAATGTTAATTTTAATGCCTTCAAACAAAGCTGCTCTCTTTTAATTGTTGGAGAGAAGCATTTTTTTGCTTTTCATTAGCATGACTGATGCTAACCTCCTTGAGAGTTACCTCATTGCACCTTCTCATTTTCTGCTAACAAGAAGTGGAAAGATTATGTTCAATTAATTGCTAGGTCTGCTTCAAGGAAAGTTGGTTCACTGTGTCAATCTCAACAGCTTTTCTCGCCAAAATCTATCTTATACATTTATAAGTCTGCTATTCATCCATTCATTGAATTTTGTTGCTACATCTGGTCTGGTGCTTCTGCCATTAATCTTGAGATTCTTGATGAAATCCAAAAAAGAATGTGCAATGTTATTGATCCTGACCTAGCATCTCAGCTTCAGTCATGTTCCCACTACCATAACATGGCTTACCTATGCCTTTTCTGTAAACATTTCTTGTTTTCTTATTTCCTGTTCTTTTTTTTTTTTTTTTTGGTTCTCTCTCCTTAGTATTTTTCTTTCTCTTTAATGTACACATTACTTTATTTACCTCCTGGATAATAAAAAGTGCTAAAAATAGTAAGAGGAGTTCACCAAATATTAGGCTCGAGAGTCAATCAAGGTAGAGTGTTACTTTTAAAACAGTTATGATGAATAATGTGTGTAATATGAATGTAAGAGGAAGTGGTAGAAAGTGAAGATTATAAGGACATAGAGGACAGATAGTCATTGAACGACAAATTACACATCGCAGTACAAAGGATAGAAGCTTGTAGAGAGGCTTGATTGTCTATGTGCTGAAGTGAGACAGTACATATTTTCAGATATTAGATGGAGAGCAAAAGTTGTGGAGATCCATGATCCTGAAGGGACACTGCATAGGAAGAATGCTCAATATTGGAGATAAAGATAATGGGGATATATGAATCAACACTGTATAATGACAGTCAGTTTCAAATCTGAAGTGATCATCAGACCACATTTCAATTAATATATAGTGATTTTCCAAGCGTAGTGTAGCTTAGCTGAAAGTATGGGGCACCAAGTAAGGATTGAACTCACTACTCAGTCGTAATTGTTCTAACAAGACAAGCTTGCTATCCATTACACTGCCTTGAGGTGCCCATTTCAATTGATATATAGAGCACTGGGGGATTTAAGGAAGTGAGAGAATGGAAGAGACTCCAATCTTCCCAGTTCTTTTGCTTAGGGATTATGCTTAAGGCTATTGAAAGTCATGACCTTCATTTATATATATTTCACTTATTTATTTACTTGTATATTTTTAAAAAAAAGTTAAATATCTACAAAGTTTTTTAACAGAGGATAGAAAGTGTGACACTGAAATCCAAAGATGCCTTCCAAAAGCTAAGCAGGGTACTAAGAAATAAGAAAACTTTGCTCAAAACAAGAGTACTAAACTGTGACTTGTTATCTGTCCTCCTGTATGGCAGTGAATGCTGGACAATCTTCTCAAGGGTGAAGAAGAGACAGGAAGGAATAGAAATGTGGTTCTACAGAAGGATGCTGAGAATATCATACTCTGAACATGTGAGCAACAATGAAGAAAATGGAAACAAAAATTAAACTTATACTTAACACCAGGAAGAGACAGTTGAAATTTCTAGGGCACACAATGAGGAAAGAGGGCTTGTAAAATCTGATACTCACAGGACAAACTAAAGGTAAGAGGGACAGAGGAAAACAATGCATAACATAGTGAGCTTGAATAAATGGATGGTGGAACAAGGTTTAGTAGAAATAACAAAAAGACAAAATGTATTACGAGCAGAACAGGAAGTTGTGGAGAGCCATGATAGCCTCCATCTTGAGGGAACATGACACATAAAGAAAAAGAATATTTTGGTATATGGCCACATCATGTTGAAAGTTAAGCAACATTGAGTCTGGTCAGTACCTAGATGAGTGACTGTAAATACTAGGTTCTGTAAGCATGGATGTACAGATGATATAATGATCTGGTATGCTTTGACGGCTCAGCCATGAAGAGCTTCACAATCAAGCAAGTTTCTATTTGCCTTTCCAACTCTGTAAGATTAACGTTAACATAAAAGCAGAAGTCATATTCTTAAATAGCTTTGTTAGATTTAGACTCTTATATAGATGTCATGTATGTTGTCTAACCTGTTCGGAACTTAATTAAAACTGTCATCTATATACAACTGATTTCTCAGATTGACAATTAAAAATGGCTTCCAGTAAATGAAACCTGTAGGTCTTTGAGAGGACCATCCTTCATCAAATCTCATGGACTGGTACAAACATAAGATGTTGAGTTTCCACACTACTTTGAACCAAAAGTTAGGAAAGAAACTCCCATCAGTACTGGAAACTTGAGAAAACTATTTTCTGGGAAAATTTCAATGGATAGTAACGTTATCTGTTGTTGGAATACCAAATATTTCCTTATAAGGAAAAAGAAATGGCTAATATTGCCATTAGAGATGAGAACAGATACTACATTTTGATCCCAGCTTGATGACCAAGGAGTGAAGAAAAGCATAACTTGAATAGCATCAGTAGCTGCTTGTTCAGTGAAGGGCAAATGTTACCTAATATGAAAACAGTTAATACTAACATTATCATGTGTCTCTATTCTAGCATATATTCACAAAAACTCATTAAGTTTTTTTTTATGTTCTCTCTCCTTCTCTTGACTTCTGAATGTTTTGTGAGTATTTAGTTCTCTGAGCCTTCTTTCTTCATTCATTATACATCTTACAAATTTCAAGTGTCACTTTCTAATTATAGGTATAAGTTTCCTTGGATCATTACTAGAACCAAATTCCTTCTTTCTTGATTCCTACATAAAAGAAATTCAATTTAATAATGAAAAATGTAATTCCTTCAAACCAACTTTCCATCCATAAGATTGTTTTATTTCTTCTTTATTGATTGATTTATTTTTTATGGCTTTGAAGGTTATTTAAAGCCAGAAAATATTTTTTAATTATAAGAATGTTTTGGAGATGATAATGATTTACTTATACAAGTCCTGCTAATTAACCCATAGCTCGAGGCCTTGACTTAAGTGAATATAATGAACCAATCTGGAATTGGAACTCTTATCTCCAATTTTCAATTTTGAGCTGTTAACCTTTACATCAACAGCACATTCAAGCGTACAGCACCCAGTCTTCCCAAGTGGTCACCCATCTAGGTACTGACCAGGCTCAACTATGCTTAACTCTGATGATCGTACAAGAACTGGTGTTTTGAGGTGATAGGGATATAAGCCAATTCTTCCTTATGTTTCTTTTAAAAATGATAATAGAAAAAATAAGACTTTCTAAGTTTTCTACATTTGATTGTCATAGAAAAAAAAATGGGCCTGTCAGATCATAAAGGCTGAAAAAACAAGAAAGAGAAAAATCTGAAAAAAATACCAGGACCTTTCCTGAGAGCTGAGTACAGAATAGAATATGAATGTTATCTCAAAAATAGTTGGGACATTTTACACCATTCCAAAATTTACTAAGATCAAGTGTGGATAAATGAGTGTTTCAAAAATGTGGTGAGACTGGGGTCTGTGTAGATACGAAGAAGGGTGCTAGGGACTTAAAATTTACTGTCACTTTCCTGCAATAATTGCCAGACATCAGGAGTAAGCAAGAAAATTTATATATATTCATAATAGGCATGACTGGCTAGAAGAGGTGATCCATTGTATTTTCCATACAAATGGATACTGAGAAAAGGAAAGACTCTCAGATTGCTCAATCGATACTCCTCCCAGTTCTCTTGAACAGAAGTAGAGGCTCATCCCTTTTTTCCTGTTTAGGAAGGGGTTCTCAGTTCCTTTCTTTTTCTCAGGCCTTAATATTGGTGCTGTCATGAATTTTTTGTGATAATCGTGGATGGTGGCAATGTCTCTTCATATTGAGGGTACCAGGTTGTCAGTTTTTTGGTTGCTGTTCCTGACTGATGGTTTGGAGCCCAAACTCTTGGATAGTGTCTTAAGATGCTGCTTTGATCAATAGTTGTATAATATCAGGATTCTTACAGTGCCATGTTGCCCATAGAACAGTGTCCCTGCAAGCAACCCCAAGGCTACACTATGTTGCAGTCTGTGCCAATTCTATTTCTGCACATTTTCCATTAGATGACCAACCACTACTACTATCCTAGGCCTTTTGTTTAACAATTTAACACATCATGACTTTAAAGAACCAAAGATAGAAAGCTAAAGAAGTTTAACAAAAAACACCTTACTTTCTCCAACATTCGTGGTATTTGTACCAACTTCTGCATTGCCGAATTGTTCTTCTTCAAAAAGTCTCCAGACATCTTACTCTCTGTGAAACTAATCTTAACTCATCAATCTCCTCTTCTGATTTTTCACTCCCTGGCTATCTTCCTCTCCTTAGAAAGGCCTGGGAATTTATGTCCGCAAACATCTGCTCGCTAGGGAACTCTCTCTTGAATCTTCAGACCATCTCTCTCTACTTAATTTAGTCAGCCATCTCTTCTTTCTCTATTGTTCCCCTTCCTCTCAAGACTGTTGTATGCTAGATAGTATTTCTGATAATATAAACAAGGGCATCTCCCTGCACCCATTTACAAACATATTTGTGTTTGGTGACTTTAATGCCAACAATACCAGGTGGCTTAAACACTCTGTCACTGACCTTTTGGCATTCAAACCATTAACTCCTCAATCTCTCTCACAAGTGGTTAACTTCCCCACACATTTCCTCAGTAACCCTGATGAACATGCTTCTTTTCTAGATCTCTTTTTTTAACTCTATCCCAGACTCTATGCAACTCTGCCCCCTTGGCAACTCTGATCATGCGTAGTATCTGTAAACATCTCTTTCTGCTCTCCCACTAGCCAAGAACCTTCTACCAACAGAATATCTTTCTGTTATCGACAAGCATATTGGGACTTGTTTTGTGATTTCCTTTCTGATGTCCTTTGGAAAGATGTTTTTAATTATCCTGTTCAAAAATGCACATCTGAGGTCACCTGGGTGAAAGCCGACATTGATGCTTTCATTCCAAAAAGGAAATACCAATTAAACCATGTTCATCTCCTGTTCTCATTTGTGTTCATCTCCTTGGTTTTCACTTGCATGCTTGGCCATTATAGCTCACAGGAATCACTTTTTCTGGCTGTACCAGAGCAATACGTCTGATTGCAACAGGCGGCGTCTCTTTGTCTCTGTTTGTAATGAGTGCAAGTGTGTCCTCATTGAAATAGAATTACTGTTGCTGATAGAATGAAACAACATACAGCAATTCAAAACTTTGGTTCCAGAGATTATTGGGGGTTCTGCAAGAGTGCTGAACAACAGCAAATCCTCAATCCCTCCTCTATTCAATCAATTCAAAGTCTTTACAGCTACAGCAGATAAGGTGAAATGCTTTGCTCAGAAATTCTCTTCCAACTCAACACTTGACTCATCTGGAGTAACCACACCTGATTTTCCCCTGAGGACTGGGGCTACACTGAGTGATATGCATAACCTTCTCACTGGTCTTGGACATCATTTCTAAATTAGACTCCCATAAAGGAAGTGGAGGTGATGGGATATCAGCTGTTGTCCTAAAGAAATGTGCTTCTGAGGTGGCCCCAGTTCTCTTCAAACTCAACAAATATTGCCTCACTGCTTCCTGCTTTTCAGCTTGTTGGAAGTCCTCCTATGTAGTCCCTGATTTTAAGAACTCTGGAGAATCATCTGACCACTCTGTCACCCTGTTAGTCTCCTACCACTTTTTGTCTAAGTATTTGAGGCTTTAATCAATCCTGAAGTGGTTAAGCATCTTACCTATCATGACCTACTCTCTCACAAATGACGTGGATTCTGTTTTGCCTGGTCTACCACTGATGTGCTAACAGCCATCACTGAATACGTATATTAAGCTCTTGATAATAATGGTGAAGCTTGAGCTGTGGGGCTAGCTATCTCAAAGGTGTTTGACAGGGTTTGGCATGCTGATCTATGTGTGCTTCAGGGCTACAGTATTATGGGATGATTGTTTGATTTAATCCAATCATTCCTATCAGATTTTGAAATGAGGATCGTTCTGAATAAACTCACTTCCAGAACCTTTAACATGAATCCAGGTCTCCCCAAGGCTCTATATTGCATCTTATGCTGTTTCTGATCTTCATCAATGATCTTCCTGATGTCATCAGTTCCCAAGTAGGCATTTATGCTGATGACACTACCATTTACTCCTGTCTCAATAGTAAATCCATCAGAGCTGACAAAGTTAACCTGGTCACTGCTCTTGAAAAGGATCTCTAATCAGTGGTTAACTGGGGCGGGAAATGGCTTGTAAATTTTAATGCCTCTGAAACAAAATTCTCTCATTTAACCACCATAGAGAAACTTCCCTCTGGCCATCAGCATGGCTGATGCTCAACTCCTTGAGAGCGTCTCACTGTACCTTCTTGGCCTCATGTTTTCAACTAACTTGAAGTGGAACAACTACATTTAATTAATAGCTGCATCTACTGAAAGGAAAGTTGGTTCAGTGTGTCATGACAGAAGGTTTCTATCTTGTCAGAATCCATCTTGTACATTTACAAATCTACCATTCTTTGTCCATGCCTTGAATACTGTTGCCATATCTGGTCTGGTGCTCCTGCTGTTCATCTTGAGGTCCTTGACAAAATCCAAAGAAGGATCTGCAATGTAATCGACTCTGATCTGGCATCTTGACTTCAGTCACTTTCTCACAGATGTAATGTGGCTTCCCTCTGTCTTTTCTACAAATATTTTCATGACAACTGCTCTGATAAGGTTTTTTCCTTGGTGCCCTAACTACATGAATTTAAGCATGCTACTAGACTGACATCTCATTCCCACTCTTTTACTGTTGAAATAGGTAAATATAACTCCCACTTCTACTCCAACAGTTTCTTTTCTCACACTTCCTGACAATGGAACTCCCTTCCGCTTACTTACTTTCCCAATAACTACAATCTTCAAAAAGCAACATCAATCGCCATCTTCTGTTGTCTTAAAATCCATGCATCTTTTATCCTATCATCAATCCTCCAGTTTTTTCTCTCACTTTCAATGTCTGTAACCCACTGCACACTAGTGACAGTCTCGCCTTGTTTTGGGGTGAAATGATTTTTAAAAAAAAGTGAAATCCTCAGAGATTTGAGATTCAAATGTATCACCTAATTGAAACCAGAAGAAAATGCTAAAATATATGCTAATTAGTAGACTTTACTGTTCTAGTAGACCTCAGAATAAATCCAGACAAAAGGATTCCTTATTGAAATTTTGTTAGAGAGTATTTGTTGAGATATTCCTTGGCATTGACTGATAGAAAGAAAATTTTCATTTTCTTCTTTTTCGTCAGAGGCAAAAAAAACTGACCAGAAAACTATTGCAAATGCATCTTTATGCATATAGTTATCTCCCTTGATTAGAAACTGACATGTGAATTTGAATCTTAACATATTTTTATTAATTTTAACACCTCCAAAATAAAACTAAACTCTTTTAATCATCTGGAAGAACCTTTTTATGCCTTCATCAGCATGGCTGATGGTATCCTCTTGGAGAGAGATTCCTTGAACCTTCTTGGGCTAATGTTTTTTGCTGACATTAAGTGGAGAGATTACATTGAATCAGTTGCTGCTAGGAAAATTGGTTCACTGTTGTGATAGACATTTTTTTTTCTTGCCAGAATCTGTCTTACACATTCATAAGTCTACCATCTCTCCATACATTGAATATTAGTGCCACATTTGGTTTGGTGCTACTGCTATATATTTAGAGCATCTTGATAAAATCCAAAGAAGAATTTGCAATGTTATTGGTCCTGACCTGGCATCTTGGTTTCAGTCACTTTCTCATTGGCATAACATAGTTTCCCTGTTCCTTTTCTATAAGTATTTTCATACTAATTGTTCTGATGAGCATTCCTCTATGGGACCTCAACTTTACGAATTTAAGTGCAGTGTTAGATTGGCAGTTAACACTCATACTTTTACAGTTGAAATGACCAGATGCAACCATAAGTTCTATGGTAACAGTTTTTTCTATCACACTTCTTGCTTGTGGAACTCTCTTCTAGTTTCAAGATTGCATTTAAATTTTTGCAGATCAATGTCAATCATTATCTTCTGTCTTCTTCAATCCTCCCTCCATAATGTTTCACTCTTTCATTGTCAATAACCCCTTGCGTCTTAGTAGCTTTATTCTCTTACTTGATGATTAAAAGAAAAAAAATCATCTCCCTTGTAAAAATGTGCA